TTTTTTTTTCCTTTCCCTTGAGACGGAGTCTCACTCTGTCACCCAGGCTGGGGTGCAGTGGCACAATCTTGGCTCACTGCAACCTCTGCCTGCAGGGTTCAAGCAATTCTCCTGTCTCAGCCTCCCAAGTACCTGGGACTACAGGCATGTGGCACCATGCATGGCTAATTTTTGTATTTTTAGTAGAGATGGGGTTTCACCTTTTTCGTCAGGCTGGTTCCAAACTCCTAACCTCAGATGACCAACCTACTTTCGGCCTCCCCCCATCTCTACTAAAAAGTGCTGCAATTAACGGGCATGAGCCACCATGCCCATGCCCTGCCCTTTTATGAATATTTTAAGATTAAGTCATAACAAAGTATAGGTTGTAGTCATCACAAAATCATCACAGAAAATGAGCTAAAAGCACTTAAAGATGGCACTACTGTCACTTAACTATTGATTTATCTTCATTAAAATTTCACATTTTTATTTAGAAAATTTTCCAATCTAACAACCAATAGGGGCTAGGCGCCGTGGCTCATGCCTATAATTCCAGCACTTTGGGAGGGTGAGATGGGCTGATCACCTGAGGTCAGAAGTTTGAGACCCACCTGGCCAACATGGTAAAATCCCATCTCTACTAAAATACAAAAATTAGCTGGGAGTGGTGGTGCATGTCTGTAGTCCCAGCTACCCGGGAGGCTGAGACATTAGAATTGCTTAAACTTTCGGGAGGCACAGGTTGTGGTGAGCTGAGATCTCACCACTGCACTCCAGCATGGGTGATGGAGCAAGACTCTGTCTCAAAAACAAAAACAAAAAAACGAAAAGGAAGATTTCCCTGAATTTTTTAAATAAACTGCTTTAGCTTTGAAACAATCCTTGGCTTACAAATAGGACTAAACGATAAATGTACTGGTACAAATGTATGTAAAGCATTAGTATATCCAATTATTCCTAATTATAATACATAGATTGATGAAGGCTTCAAGCTATGAAAAGCCCTTCTGTTAACATCACAGTACAGTGTATACAGATTCAGACTAAGAGTCAGATAATGTGTATTCTAGCCTTAGGTATGCTAGTGCCTAGTAATGTACCCTTGAGACAAGTCACTCAATCTGGGCTTCATTTTTCTTTTTCTTTTTGAGACAGGGTCTGACTCTGTCACCTAGGCTGGAGTGCAGTGCTGCGATCTCAGCTCATGACAACCTCTGCCTTCAGGGTTCAAGCCATCCTCCTACCTTGGGTTCCCCAGTAGCTGGGACTAAAGGCCCATGCCACCATGCCCACTTAAGTTTTGTACTTTTTGTAGGGATGGGTTTTGCCAAATTGCCCTGGCTAGTCTCAAATTCCTGAGTTCAACTGATCCGCCTGCCCTGGCTTCCTGAAGTGTTGGGATTACAGGTGTAAGCCACCCTTCCCGGCCCATTTTTCTTAAAGGAATTAGTCTAGATCCGAAGTTCTCAAATTCTTCAACAAAAAATATTTATTCAAAGTTCAATATAAAAGAGATTTCTTGTTAAAGTGAGATATGGAGATGAGAATTCTGCCTTTTCATCTTTCCAACTATCCTGCAGTGGCACTAAACAATTTCTGAACAACTTATAGGGTGCCTTGGATTAGAGTTGGAAAATCACTAGGCTAATCTGCTTCTGTGGTTCTTTAGCCTTCTGCTATATGACTCCCCTACCAAAGTTCACAGTCTGACAAAATTAACCTTAGAGAACAGTCCTTTACTAAAGGAAAAAAGCAGCTCTGCGATCATATCTGATTACAGTCATCAACAATTTCATGGCATTTATTACACAGGGCCACACAGAAGAAGCTATCTATAAAATTTACATACATGCAAAAAGTCATTCCTACCAGACTTAATTTAGCCCAAATGACAGATATCACATTTTTCTGTAGCAGGAAAATACTAGACCTAAAATTTCCTCAATGTTCATTCTTCACATAAAGCCAAACAAACTTAATTAATGAGCACTCCAAAATTAAAAACAGTCCTAGATACAAAGTAAAAGTGTTTTGGCTCTCTTCCTGCAGCAATCACTACATTCAACCTATACCATCTATAGAAAGTTATAATTTCCTAGGACAAAGGCTATAAAAAGGCCTTTAGGAAATGAAAAACCAATGAAATCTATTTTTAATTGTGTTAAAATATATTAAAATATATTCTTTAGCTCTTTATCTATCATATGGCATTAAGAAACTATAAATATCATGCTAGGATTTGCTTAGTGTGACAGTCACTTGGGTATATCACACCAAGAGAATAAAGCTAAACTATAACCAGTGTTTTATGACTATTTGCAACAGATACAGTTATTATCATCATAATCTAGAATTAGGAGATTATAATTCTAACACTAGACAATGATACTACAACAAATACACAAAACTATTCTATATAAAGAGGATGCTCTTGTTCCCATACTTTGAAGGGCTTTTTAGTTCATGATATAAAACTAAAGAGAGGAACTGATGTATTATATATAAGATTTTTTAAACTGCTAGTCAAAATCTCTCAGGTTTGATATAAAAACAGGGAGACCAAGGGCCGAAGAAATTAGATCTTCTCAAAGGCAGATAATTTTACAGGCAATGCCAGAGAAACAAATATTCAAAATTTCAACTTCTTTACCATATTATGAAGCAATATAGTACAGTTGTAATGAGTCTCTAGGCTTGAGCTTGTATCCCAGCATTTCCTTATTAGCCATGTTTCTTCAAACTAAGCCTTTCTTTATATGTAAAATGCAAAAAATAATACCTACCATACAAGAGTAGTATGAAAATTAAATGAAATAATGCGCAGTCTCTTACATCACTTATTAGCTATGTGATCTTCACCAACCATGTAAAATGTGGCCAGTAAATAATAGGGAAGTGAAAAAAGAGTGAAAAATGCCAGACTTAATTTTTTTTCCTCCCTAACATTTAAATAAGTATTTTCTTTTTTAAAATTTCTCCTCTGTCCCAGGATGGCATACAGTGGCACAATCACAGATCACTGCAGCCTCAAGCAATCCTCTCACCTCAGCCTCCCAAGTAGCTGGGGCTATAGGCATGCACCACTACACCTGGCTTTTATTGATTGATTCATTGATTGATTGAGACAGAGTCTCCCTCTATTGCCCAGGCTGGGGTGCAGTGTCCCAATCTTGGATCACTGCAGCCTCTGCCTCCTGGGTTCAAGGATTCTCCTGCCACAGCTTATCAAGTAGCTACGATTTCAGGCCTGTGCCACTATACCTGGCTGATTTTTGTATTTTTAGTAGAGATGGGGTTTCACCATGTTGGTCAGGATGGTCTTAAACTCCTGACCTCAAGTGATCCTCAGCCTCCCAAAATGCTGGGATTACAGGCATGTGCCACCATGCTCAGCCTTGTTTTATATTTTGTACAGACGAGGTCTCACTATGTTGCCCAGGCTAAGTATTTTTAAACAGAGCATTAAAACTTTTATTTAGTGGCGAATACTTACTTAGAGAGATATATCTTATATTTATACATAGTCATATATAGAGAATAGTTATTAAAAAACTCACAGATCAATCATGAAAGTGTAATGGTTGGGCAGGGTGTGGTGGCTCACAGCTGTAATCCCAGCTCTTTGGGAGGCCGAGGTGGGCCGATCACAAGGGCAAGAGTTTGAAACCAGCCTGACTAACATGGTGAAACGCTGACTGTATTAAAAATACAAAAATTAGTTGGGTGTGTTAGTGCACACCTGTAATCCCAACTACTTAGGAGGCTGAGGCAGGAGAATTGCTTGAACCCGGGAGGTAGAAGTTGCAGTGAGCCGAGATCACGCCACTGCACTCTAGCCTGGGTGACAGAGTGAGACTGGGTCTCAAAAANTAAATTGAACTTTCCGTGTAGTGCAGACAGCCAATGGTTGGAGGAACACACTCTTCAGTGACAAGATGCCAGTCCTTGCCATTATTCAGAGAATACTGGAGCTGTACACTGTGGGAGTTGCTGAAGGGCTTGCTACAGCCCATGCTCATTTCAAACTGCAAAAAGGTAGATGCTGACACATGAAAATCCCAGGTCTCAGCATAACGAGGTTTTCCTGAAAAAAAAAAAAAAAATGTGTAATGGCAATTCGAACACCAACCATTGCTTATATATTTTTCCTCTATACTAGCTAATTTTCCCATACTGTTTCCTTTTTATTCCACTTTTATCTTCCCAAACTACAAAATTCATTTGTTTCAAATCTGGAATTAAATACAGCTTTATGTCTTGTATTGTCAGAATTTGATCAATAACCCTATAATGTTCTTGGCCATTAATAAATATAATAGCTAAAAGAATTATTTAATTGACTAAATTATCTGAGATGACAATAGGGGTCATATTGCTTGATATGGTCTTAATAAGGGACCTATGGTGGTTAGCACTCAAGCTAGAGAATATATTTTGCTTAAACTCGGGTTGTAAAATCAAAAGGCAACAAACATCGGATGCATACTCATCAATATCATGTTGCTTCAGAGACCAGGAATAAAGGAAGATGAGCTTGAATTATCTAAAGCCAACAAAACTATCTGACTGGAAGAATGTCCCATCTTTTTGTACCAATATTCTCTCATGAAGATGTCTCCTAACAGTTCTTTCTTATTGTGAATTTTTATGCAACACACTCAAGTACTGTTTAATCAAGTTTCTGGTCCTAAATCTCATAGATGGTAAAGTTCTGGGTATTATTCAGGAGGCCAAATCAATCTCTTAATAGAAATGCTCAACATTTCTTCTGACGAGGTAAACCCTAAACAAAATTATGAACATACTGTTTTAAAAATATGAAAGGGCTTGCCCCAAGAATTATTCCTACACTAACATGTACAATACACTGACTCCAGATAGTTAAGTGTACAGAACTTAAAAGCAAATTATCCAGTTCAAACTAATAAGTAAAATAAAAAAGTAAAATTTTACTTAACTCTGATGTAAAAGCTGTCAGATCTAAACTGAAATCAGCAGTAGTATTTTCATTCTAAAGTATTAATTACAATTAAAGGATTTCCTGGTCAGGTGCAGTGGCTCATGCCTGTAATCCCAGCACTTCGGGAGGCCAACGTGGGCAGATCACATGAGGTCAGGAACTCGAGACCAGCCTGGCCAACACAGTGAAACCCTGTCACTATTAACAAAATACAAAAATTAGCCAGGCATGGTGGCAGGCATCTGTAATCCCAGCTACTTGGGAGGCTGAGGCAGGAGAATCGCTTGAACCCAGGAGGCAGAGGTTGTAGTGAGCCAAGACTGTGCCACTGCACTCCAGCCTGGTGACAGAGCGAAACTCCAACTCAAAAAAGTAGTATATCCTTAGGTGGGGGCAAAAAAAAAAAAAAATTCAGTGTTATAATGCTATTTAGCAGAATCTCTTGTAATTACAGATACTGGTCAATGAAATCTCTAATGCTCCTAAATCATAGGAAAAGTCTAAAGGAATAAAAGTAAGGTAGATTAAGGGAAAATATCTTTAAGGTTGTCCGACACAGGTTATATTAAAACAATATTTTTGTAAAATAATCAGTATGTTGTTAGCATATGATTCAACATCAGGTGACCCGAACAACTATATTTTACACGCATAAAAGCCAACTTAATTTAAAAATAGCCTTTAAAAATTAGTTTCACTACAAAGCTACTATGGTTGAATCAGCAATAACGTTGAACTCTGACCTTTGGTGTCAGCGTCAGTTAGTTGCTCTTTGGCTACCTCCTCTTCTTCTTCAGCTATCGCCTGGAAGATTGCAGTCAGGAAGAAAAAAAGCAATTCACACAGTGGGCCTTCACTGTCATTTCCTACAAGAGCTTCCTCTAATACTTCTGTGAATAAAATGTTTAAAACAAATTTAAAGTTCTGTTCATGTACAGAAAAACAACTCTACTGAAATAAACATTTAATCAACAATAGTATGTGCAACTATTTTCTTAAGCATCCATTTATGAAAGTATAGCCAAGTATTATCCAAGCCAAAATAAGAAACAATTTATAATGATTACAATAAAATCATAAGCCAAAATCACCTCATTCAAGTAAGTCAAATCAGCTTCAAAAGATCAACATATTTCATCTAAATTTAAATTTAAGGCAGGAATAAAGGATCATTTTTAAGATTGTAATTTATTCTAATCTGAATAACTGCAAATATTTGTTGTTGTGCCACTGTTCTTGAGGGCTATGTGCAAATAGGGCACAGGAGAGATCATTATCAGCATTAGGTTTTAATCCTAATATTGTATCTAAGTCATAAATAAATGTTTCTTATCTGATTCATTTTGCCTAAACTTCTTACCTAAACCAGTACTGTTAGGCCTCCTTGATCTATAAGGCACAATGATTCTTGCCTCGTCTTTTATTTCTCATAAGGAGAAATAAAAGAATTTGAAAGCCCTCCTAAAGAATATACTTTTATTAAAATAAGAGTGGCATTATAATTCTCTTTTTCAAAGACTCTACATGGATTTTAAGAAAATTATTTTACCATGTGACAGCCAAAAATTCAAAATTTTGATCCAAATCTCTTCTTTATAGTAAACCCTATTATAAATGTTTATACAAAGTAAAAGTATGGAAGTACACAGGCCAAAGAGAATTACAAAAATGGTAGGCAATAACCTGCCTGCAAACACACATATACCACTCCCTGCTCAAGAAGTGGAAACTATTCTACCCACCACCCCACTGAATCCCAAGGTGGCCTTTCACTGCTCTGACCAATGGAATGTGGCAGAAGTAAGGCTGTGCCAATTCCAGACCTAGGCTTTAGGAGGGCTAGCAGTTTCTGCTTCTTGCTTCTTAGACCCCTCAGGTGTCACGTAAGTATGAGATACTCTGATGAAATGAGAGGCCACATGAAGAGGACCGACGCACCAGACCTGTGCAAGAAGAAGCTATTTTGAACATCTAGTCAGACAAGCCTTCAGAGAGATTCCAACTCCAGTGACCCCACAGAACTTTAAGAGATGGCTTGTTTTTTTAAAGGCACTAATTTTAGGATGAACTATAACATAGCAGTAGCTAACTAGAGCACTTGCCTAGGGTCACTCCATCAGGAAACTCATCTTGAAGATCAAAAAGTTCCCCAAATGCATTAAGGAACTCCAAAACCATCAGAGCATCACCAAAGATTTCAGGAGGTAGTCTAGTTTTCACTGGTGTTGGTTCTGGAAGTTCCTGAAAGATTAAACAATTTATATAATTATTTGAACCCAAGAACAGGAAAACTTAAAAGATAGAGATGACATACTTTTTACCTAACTATTAAGAATTATTCTTTGTAGGCTACTGGTTCTCAACCCTGGCTATTTATCACAATTGCCTTTGAAACTTCTAAAATTATGGGCCGGGCGCGGTGGCTCAAGCCTGTAATCCCAGCACTTTGGGAGGCCGAGGCGGGTGGATCACGAGGTCAAGAGATCGAGACCATCCTGGTCAACATGGTGAAACCCCGTCTCTACTAAAAATACAAAAAATTAGCTGGGCACGGTGGCGCGTGCCTGTAATCCCAGCTACTCAGGAGGCTGAGGCAGGAGAATTGCCTGAACCCAGGAGGCGGAGGTTGCGGTGAGCCGAGATCGCGCCATTGCACTCCAGCCTGGGTAACAAGAGCGAAACTCCGTCTCCAAAAAAAAAAAAAAAAAAAAAAAAAATTATGGTTGTCCTGAACTTATTCCAACTTTATTAAGTCACAGTTCCTGAGAAGGGATTGGGAGAAAGGAACATTTTCCTTCCTCAAACTAGAACATAACTTTAGGCTGAGGTGTATTTCTGACTATATTTCCTAGTAAGAGTCTCTTAACCCACATTCTGAAGTCAAATCAGCTTGAAATCTACGTTCAATGTAGTATCTCCTTATGATTTGGAACATAATCTACCATCTACTGATTTAGAAATTGTCCTTTATATATCAAGTTGAATGAGTTTGATTTGGACACTTATGCCATTTCTGGAAATAGGCAGAGTCCTAACCTAGCAATCAAGCTAAATGCATGCCTGGCAACAGTGGTTTTTGGATCATTAAGGATCACACAAACTGACTATTTCTACAGAATAAGAATCATTATCAAAGCTGGTTATAAAACACAAACAACGCTACCTTGGAATTCTAAGTATGAACACATGCTTAACTAGCTATTTCTTCTCCTTTAAATATATATATATATATATAAAGAGGCTGCTATTAAATAAAAGAATGATTTCATCAGCAAAGCCATGTATGGCATATAAAACCTATGTGTGCCAAACATCACATAACATGTTTATACCTTAAGGTCATCACATTCCATATCTTCTCTAGGTTTACTCCATTGTTTTAAGTATTCCACATATTTTCGCTTTTCTTCACGTAACTTCTCTCTTTCCTAAAAATTTTCAAAAGTTAGTAACAATTCATGTAAGAAATTTATGTGGCAGCATCAGCATCTCCTGAGAACCTGTTAGAAATGCAAATACTTGGACCTTACCCCAGACCTACTGAAGCAGTAACTATGAGGTTAGGATGTAGAAACTGGTGTTCTAGCAAGACTTTCTGGTGGTTTTTAATACATGCTAAAGTTTAAGCACCACTGATTAAAATAATACCTATTAAAATAATGCTGTAAAGACTGAAAATGGGCTGAGTGCAGTGGCTCACACCTGTAATCCCAGCACTTTGGGATGCAGAGGCAGCCAGAAGTTCGAGACCAGTCTGACCAACATGGCAAAACTCCATCTCTACTAAAAATACAAATATATATTAGCTGGGCATGGTGGTACCCACCTGCCATTCCAGCTACTCGGTAGGCTGAGGCAGGAGGATCGCTTAAACCCAGGAGGAAGTGGTTGCGGTGAGCTGAGATTGCGCCACTACCCTCCAGCCTGGGCAGCTCTATAGCTTTCCTTCTACTTCAAATCAATAAGTTCCTGACAAAATAAATTGTTAGACTACCTAAAATAAAACTTCCCCTTATATCTGTAATACATTTATTATTTTCAAGATTTCATTTGAATCTGGTAACACCCTAGAGACACGAAGAGAGAACAATATTTAAAGGCAACAATATCAGAATAGATGGACTTCTCTTGTAATTCAGGTTATTTCTCCTCCTCACTTGGTCTTCTGAAGCCCTTACTTTTTGATTCTGGTGTTTGAAAAAAATGCAAGATTAACTGCGAAATGTCTTTAATAAAGCAGTGTAAATAAAATACTTCACTATTTTCCATTAAGTATATTTAATATGTTATTATGTTATTCTCTTCTTTGAAATTAGGAACACAGAGGTAAACAGATTTCAATATAAAATGCCTAGTTACAGAATTTACTGTGATTTGAATAGTTTGCTTCAGTAAGTTATCCACCCCCAACCTCCGAAATAATTCTTATAGGATCTAGTAAGATTAGCATTCAAATTCATTGTTGCTAACATTGTAAGCACATGGTTGGAAAATACTTCATTATGTATATGTATACAAAATTTTAAAAATATTCTTACCCTTTGATTTATTCTACTTCTACAAATTTATCCTGTGACTATCATAGTCCAAAAAAGACTTTATTCAGAAATTTGAACACAGCTGTATCATTTATAAGCAAAAAATTATAAAGCACCTAGCTGTAACTGTTTAATAAGTTATACAGTCATTAAAAATTCCACTTAAGATTATGTTTATGATCATGTTAGATGAAAAAAATATAAAATTTTAAATGGTGAATAATCCATGTTTTTAAGGCACAGAATAAAGACTAGAAATAAATGAATGAAAGTGTTAATTCTATCCCTGGCCAGGCATGGTGGCTCATGCCTGTAATCCTAGCAATTTGGGAGGTTGAGGCAGGTGGATCGCTTGAGGTCAGAATTCTGAGACCAGCCTGGCCAACATGGTGAAACCCCGACTCTACTAAAAATACAAAAATTAGCTTGGTGTGGTGGTGGGCACCTCTAATCCCAGCTACTCGAGAAGCTGAGGCAGGAGAATTGCTTGAACCTGGGAGGTAGAGGTTGCATTGGGCACAGATCAAGCCACTGCACTTCAGCCTGGGTGACAGAGTGATAATTCACCTCAAAATTTAAAAAAAAAAAAAAAAGTGTTAATTCTACCTCTAAATGTTACCATCAGATTTCAGGTGATTTTTCTGTCATCTACATTTTCTGGAGTAAGCTTATATTAGACCTCCTAAATCACCTCAATGGCCTATTTGAAAAACATTCAAGGGACACTATAGACAACTAAAATGAGCACAGCATGATCCTCTAAGGCTACTTGTGAATATCCCAAGAAATCTGAAAATGACTGACTTTGGAGGAAACCAGCTATAGAATTGTATAAGGAACATGCACCACTGAAGACCACAATCATAGATTTGCTGAAACAGTATTATACACCTTACTTTTCAAATAGGACAAGAACACAGTAATACATTCTTGTTATACAATTTATTTTCTTTTTATTTGTTTATTTATTTTTGAGATGGAGTCTCGTTCTGCTGCGCAGGCGGGAATGCAATGGCACAATCTCAGCTCACTGCAACCTCTCTGCCTCCTGTGTTCAAGTGATTCTCCTGCCTCAGTCTCATGAGTAGCTGGGATTATAGGTGAACACAACCATGCCTGGCTAATTTTTGTATTTTTAGTAGAGAAAGGGCTTCACCATGCTGGCCAGGCTGCTCCTGAACTCCTGATCTTGTGATCCACCTGCCTTGGCCTTCTAAAGTGCTGGGATTACAGGCATGAGCCACCATGCCTGGCCTATTTTATTTTTCAAACTGTGTATTTTACCTCTTAAAGTTTAACATATAAACTTTTACATGTATCGTTTTCCCTAAATTCGGGAAGTCTAAACAATGAAATCATTTAGAACTGCATTCTAAAAGAGGTTTTAAGTGAGGTGTAAAGGCATGTTAAATTTTCCAAAGCAAAAGGGAGGTAAACCAATATTGTTTATCAGCTTTCTATGAACATTCATAAATGTGAATGAAAGTAGTAAAAACATTTGAAAATCAACCATGGATGTAGATATGTAATGTTACCATAGATATATAGAATATAGCTAATATACTCAAATGAATACCTTTTCTCTTTCTACTTTAAGCCTCTCTTTTTCTTCTTTTTTCTTTAGTCTCTCCTCTTCAACAATTTTCTTCAATTCTTCCCTCTTTTTCTCTTTATCTTCTTTTTTTTTTTTCTTCGCTTCTAAGGCATCTGCTTTTTCTCTTTTTAATTTAGCCTTTTCAAAAGCTGTGGAGAAAAATCAAACTTAGAACTATATATAGACAAAAAAATAACAGTTGGCCTTTTTTTTAATATATATAACAGAATCCCTGAAATAGTTTAAGGTTAAATGAGATTAGTAGACTCTTAAAATTCCTAGAGGGAGCCAGCAGGTGATTAAAATAGGGAAAGCAAACTGGGTAAGTTTAAGACAAACTACAGTACTGGGACGAACATGTCCCTGCCTTTGAAAGCCCTAATACCCAAAGTGTGATCTGAAGACCAGCAGCAATGTCATCATCACCCTGTTAAAAATGCACAATTTCATTTCCCCCACCAGATCTACTAATTTAGAATCTTCATTTTAATAAGATCCCCAAGTGATTCATATGTATATTCAAGTTTGGGAAGCAATGTTTTAAAAGGCAATATGAATCAAACAAAATAGCCCTAGTTTGCAACCCCTGGAAACTCAAACTTCTGCTTAATCTATCACTAAGCAATTTAATAGGGAATATGCTAGACCATGAAATATCATTTTAAGAGATGAAGCAGTCTTATTTGTAAAACAAGCAAACAAACAAACAATCGTTATCTGATAGAAAAAATAACTGCACCTCAAAACAATAAACCAGGCCGGGCGTGGTGGCTTGAGTGTGGTGGCTCACGCCATAATCCCAGCACTTTGGGAGTCCAAGGTGGGTGGATCACCAAGTCAGGAGATTGAGACCACCCTGCTCAACATGGTGAAACCCGTCTCTACTAAAAAAAAATACAAAAAAAGTTAGCTGGGCATGATGGTGTGTGCCTGTAATCCCAGCTACTCCAGAGGCTGAGGCAAGAGAATCGCTTGAACCAGGGAGTCGGAGGCTGCAGTGAGCCAAGATCAAGCTACTGCATTTCAGCCAGGCAACGAAGCAAGACTCCATCTCAAAAAAGTAAAATAAAATAAACCAGAAACATGCCATGTCAGAAACATCCCCAAATCAGGTACAGAGAAATATTCTTTCTTATTCCTAATCAGTTTTTGGAAAGAATGTTAAAACTCACCCAATGACTTCATTTCTTCTTGTTTCAAAAGTTTATCTCTTTCTTTAGTAGCTTTGTTCCTATAACTTGCAAGAATCTGTTTATTAGCAATATTGTCCTCCTAAAAAACAAACCAAAATAGTATGCCTGGTTCTTATAGTAATAAGAAGAAAAAAATTTAAAACTTTCACCAGTTACATTTTCTTTATACTAAAATGATTTTTTTTTTTTTTTTTTTTTTTTTTTTTTTTTTTTTTGAGACGGAGTCTCGCTCTGTCCTCCTGGCGGGAGTGCAGTGGTGTGATCTCAGCTTTCTGCAACCTCTGCCTCCTACGCTCAAGTGATTCTTCTGCCTCAGCCTCCCGAGTAGCTGGGATTACAGGCGTGTGCCACCACACCCAGCTAAATTTTTTTTTATTTTTAGTAGAGATGGGGTTTTGTCATGTTGGCCAGGCTGGCCTTGAACTCCTGGCCTCAAGTGGTCTGCTCACCTCAGCCTCCCAAAGCGAGCCACCGTGCTCAGTCTAAAATGAGTTTTTATTCTAAAGTATAACTGGGCCGGGTACAGGCGGCTGATGCTTGTAATCTTAGAATTTTGGGTGCCAAGGTGGAAAGATCGCTTGAGGTCAGGTGTTCGAGACAAGCCTCGCCAATATGGTGAAACCCCATCTCTACTAAAAATGCAAAAATTAGCCAGCCATGATGGCATGTACCTGTAGTCCCAGTTACTCAGGAGGCTGAGGCAGAAAAACTGCTTCAACCCAGGAGGGGGAGGTTGCAGTGAGCCAAGATCATACCACTTCTTTCTAGCATGGGTGACTGAGGAGACTTCATCTCAAAAAAAAAAAAAAAAAAGTATAACTGAACTATTAATAACTCTAATCTTAGTAATAAACAGAACATGAGTTAACTGTGTATATGTATAAATTATTACAAGTATATCTCAGGAAAAAATGGCAATATATAGAAAGAGCCTTAAAAAATACATTAGAAAAGCAAACAAAAAACTTTAAACTTTCAGCTTACTTTACAAACTGGATGGTATAAATATCAAATAAAAAAGATGCAGAAAAAGACATACCAGAAAAATTCTGTGGCCAATGTTAAACAATGTCAGATTTTTTATTTTTATTTTTTATTTCTTCTAAGAATAATGTCTCTAACCTAATTAATTTGTATAGTTTTGAAAAATTTTTTAGACTAAGTCTTGGCTGTGCTGCCCAGGCTAACGTGCAGTGTCGCGTGATCTTGGCTCACAGCAACCTCAGCCTCTGCCTCCCAGCTTTGAGCAATTCTTGTGCCTCAGGTTCCTGTATTTTGAGTAGAGACAGAGTTTTGCCATGTCAGCCAGGCTAGTCTGGAACTCCTGGACTCAAATGTCCACCCACCTCAGTCTCCCAAAGTGCTGGGATTACTGGCAAGAGCCACTGTGCCCAGCTGCATTATTGTGTTTTTAAAGCCCCCTATAACTTCCTCCAGTCAGAATTTATTGCTCTTTATTTTACACTTCAATCCCATAGTTTATTCCCTGCTTTACATTTCAGTAATTGCTTATAGGCTTGCTTCCGCTTTGGTATAAAATCCCTATGGTATGAAGGTACATATCTAATTTACACTTGAAACCTCTACAAGCTTCACTACTGAGCAGTTATCAACATACTGTAAATACTCACATATTTTTTGGTGAGGTAATGGGTTTCTTCCTCTAAGCTATGAATGTGAGGGGAGACACACATACTTCTTGATTCTGAGTACTGTTTTATTAACAGTGAATATGCAGTTTTAATCAAGTCTCTACTTACCAGACTAATAGGTATTCGTTTGGGAGGTCTCCCTCTTCGTCTATTAGCAGGACTGAAGATAAATGTGGGTGGATCATCAGGGAAGAAATAAGAAAAATCTTGTTCTGCTATTTTGTACGTTGAAAGAGATGATTCCTTAATAAAACAAAGACATAGGGTACAATAATAACATATTAGTAAGCAATATACAGATATGCCCTAACATGTCATATGGCCACTATTAATGCTGTTAAAAGATTAGGATAAAAACATTAGAATTTTATGCATTATAGTGTAGTAAAATACATTTTAGTTGGTTTAACCAAGCCTTCCTTCACTATGTAATTAATTAGCCTTACCAAAAAAACCACAATTCAATAATTACCATAAAATACCTCAAGAATGGTTGTACAGTTTCCTGTATTTCAAAATTACATTTATATTATTCAATAATCTGTTTTGCTTTGACTAATTTTGTCTGAGATTTGCTATGTAAATGAATAATCAATCTATATATTTAACAGTAAAAATCCACTGTATTAACCCGATAAATTTTTCTTAACCATTTCCCAAATGCTGAACATTCATTTAGATTTTCCTTCCACGGTACAGTAATAACTTAAATACTTAATGTATCAGATTTCCCATTACATCCCTCTAGTCTTGATAAAAGCAGAAATATCTGCAAATCCCTAAAAGGTTTAAACAAAGAAATGAAGTTCAGAATAACTCATTCTTCCCAGAAACGGTGTGGTTCTATAATAATTACTAAATCCAAGACTTACTCTCTTTACCTTGTATCTATACTTTGTTTACCTTTTTAAAATTTAAATTTTTAATTTTATTTATTTATGTATTTATTTATTTTGAGACGGAGTCTTGCTCTGTCACCCAGGCTAGAGTGCAGTGGCATGATCTTGGCACACTGCAACCTCTGCCTCCTAGGTTCAAGTAATTGTCCTGCCTCAGCCTCCTGAGTAGCTGAGATTACAGGTGCGCGCCACCACACCTCGATAATTTTCGTATTTTTAGTAGAGACAGGGTCTCACCATGTTGGCTAGGCTAGTCTTGAATTCCTGACCTCAAGTGATCCTCCCACTTTGGCCTTCCAAAGTGCTGGGATTACAGGCATAAGCCACTGCACCCAGTCTTGCTTACCTTTTATCCATGTGTAACCCTAGACTTTCTGTTATTTTTTACCTAATGACCAAGATTGTCATTATTCCTTTCAAAACAAACAAGTGAATGAAAACAAATGCCACTTACAGAAATTCCTTTCAAGAAATGTGTGAGAAAATAATGATACAAAATATATAAAGTTAACAAAACAGAAAAAGATATTTTGTGTATAATTATTTTTGTAGGTAGAGCACAGCTTTAAACATCTAAAACTCAACCAGTTCTGGTCATGATAATAAATCAAGAATCTATCAAAATTTCACATTAAAGATTTCATTAAAATGATCATATTTCATCCCACATAACCTCTGATTTATATGGGATAACAGAATTATCTACAGAATAGAATTCTCTAATTGTCTACAGAACTGCACCTTTAATACGAATATAAATATAAAGCACATGGCTGGTTTCTTCTCAAATATACATACACTTAAAAAGGCCAAAATAGATTTTAACACATGAATCGCCAAAGTGCCTAATTCATACACACAATACACAAGACCCACATTTTTGTGTACTTGTAGATTCTAACAGCAGTCTATGCTCACCAAAACTGGTTTTCAGACTTTGTGGGCTTGCTCACAAAGTACTGTGCTGATATGATTTGGCTCTGTGTCCCCACCCAGATCTCATGTGGAATTATACTCCCCAGTGAGAGGACGGGCTTGGTAGGAGGTGACTGAATCATGGGGTGGACTTCCCCCTTGCTGTTCTCATGAGGTCTGCTTGTTTCAAAGTGCATAGCACCTCCTACTTCACACTCACTCTCTCCTGGTCAGCCATATAAAGATGTGCTTGCTTTCTCTTTGCTTTCGGCACTGACTGTAGGTTTCCTGAGGGCTCCCCAGAAGAAGCCTGTATAGCCCACAGAACCGTGAGCTGATTAAACCTCTTTTCTTTTATAAGTTACCCAGTCTCAGATATCTTTATAGCAGTGTGAGAATGGATTAATACACCTGCATATCCATTAATAATCTTCTATTACACTCTAAGTGAAAAATGTTTATTGTGACTTTAATTTCCATTTATTTATTAAGTCAAGTTGAGCTTCTTTCCATGTTCACTGACTTTTTCCTTGGCGAAATACTTGCTGATGTCTTTTATCACCATCTTCCAATTGGGTCATCTTTGCTCACTGATGTGTAAGAAATCTTTGTAAATTAGAGGAATTGGCCAAATGGCTGTTTACAATATACATATACAACTATTTACATGTATCGATTGTCCACCAAGTGCCAGGCACTGTTCTACCCATTTGTCGCAAGTATCTAAATCATTAAAACTTTTTGTAAGCATCATTTAATATGGCTACCTGATAATCAATGCTATAGACAGAGCAAAATTGAATCGTATCAAGGCAGATACATAATTTTTTTAAAATGTGAGCATATTTGTTTTTCAGATGACTCTTACATTTTGAAGTTTTTATATTTCATCCACTGTGAATTTTAATCATATTTATTTGACCATTTTCCTACTGGGGTAGTTATGTTTTTCTAGCTAATTTGAGTTCTTCATTGTATTTACTCAAGCTATTTTTCCTCCAGTGCTTGCTCTTGAAATCTATGTATGACTTTTTTTTTTTTTTTTTTTT